GGGATATATAGCAATCATGCTTTAGGTCAGTGAGTTTTAGAGAAGAAAGTAGCTTCCTTATACAGCAACATATATTTTAAGACTATTTTCCAGGAGAAGAAGCCTGTCCATGGACAGGCTTGCAGAGGCCCCGATTCCTCCAGGTCTACTAATACTTTTTAACCTGATGGACAATGCATCGTACATGTACTCTTATCTGTGTGCCAATGTACTTGAAAGCTACCATTCTAAAATTGCTGGTTTAAAGACTATATGTATTTTCAGACATTGCTCATTACAAGGGGAAGCTGATTCAGACACATCATAGAAGTAAACGCTTGTTTTCCGTCATTATTATCCCATTGTTGTTGTTAGTGTGAGTCAGGATCTTGTCTTTCCCTCAGCTGATAATGAACTGTTGTGTAGTCTAGGTTAGCTCGTGGACTAGGGACTAAGTCACATAAAGATAAATGAGATTTTGCGTTAACTAATAGATACTCACTTGTTTGTGATAGGGTCTTGTGTAACTCAGGCTGGTCTTGTACTTTGACTCTTCAGCTTCCCACTTGCTGGGATCTGGGATGGTGGGAATGTACCCTGTGCCTAGCTTTCATTACTTTGACATTTTTCTTTTCTTTCTTTTTTTAAAATTTAGCATAATTTCTTTATTGAATCCTTGGGAATTTCACATCTTGCACCCCAATTCTGCTTACCTCTCAGTCCCTCCCTATCATCCCCTCACCCCTGCAGTGCCTCACCAAAAGAAAATTAACGAATCCAAACCAAAATAAGCAAGCAAACAAGAAAATCAAACAAAAAATAAAAACCCCAACCAAACAAAAAACCCATAGAAATTTGAACATTTTTTTCTTTTTAAAGATTTACTTTATTATTTATACAGCTTTCTGCCTACATGGATGCTTATATATCAAAGGAGGGCACCAGATCTCATTACAGATGGTTGTGAGCCACCATGTTGTTGCTGGGAATTTAATTCAAAACCTCAGGAAGAGCAGCAAGTGCTCTTAATCTCTGAGCCATCTCTCCAGCCCTGAACATTTTTGTAGTATAGTTGAGCCTTTTAGGTTTCCTTCTGTCTACTTTTCATTGCTTTTCTATTGAATTCTTGGTGTTGTACTACTGACTTGTAGTTGGTGTATGTATACTGAGAAGAAATAAACTTTGTGATTTGTGGTGTCTTTAGTTTCATTTGTTTTGATGGTTTACAAGGAATATCTTATTTTTCAAGATACTTTTTCAGAAACTTCTTAATTATTATTTAAAAATGTAGATGACATTCATTAGTCTTTTAGGGCCTCGGGATATACCTTAGGAATAACAACCCATGTTATTCACTGGCCTTCACACATGTACATGTGCACACCGTCACATATACATATACACACACCATTGCACACAGACACATATACATACATACAAATAAAGAGTGTAGTTTCTTTTAGCCCTGGAGATTGAACCTTTGTGCTAAGTGTGTTCTCTGCCATTGAGCTGTACCTTAACCCTGCAACACTTCTCAGTTTTAAGATCCTGCTGAGTTTGTTTTGGATTGTTCTATACCATAGGTGTGACTTACGAAGTAACTGTAGAACTGTAATGTGTTTTAAATATTTGGAGCTTCTGGGAAGGAGAGGTGGCTCAGTTGAGAACATCTATTGTTCCTGCAGAAGACTTGGGTTTGATTCCCACACTCACACAGTGACTCATAATTGTCTAACTCTAGTTCGAGGGGATCCAGTGTCCCCTCCTGACCTCCAGAAGCACCAGGCATGCATGTGGTGCACATGCATACATGCAACCAAACACACACATACATAACATTAAGTAAACATAAAATTTAAGGTATTTTAGAGCTCTTAAGTAATTTTGTTGCTTATTTTTGCTTGCTTCTTATTTCTATGTGAACTTTAGAATTGTCTACTTTTTAAGATTTTCGTTAATTTGCTGGTGACTTGCCAAACATTTAAAGATTAATTTAGGGAGAAGTAAAATCTTGTAATGTTTTTATTTAAGAACATGGAATTTTTTTTAGTAGTTCATGTCATTGTTTTTGGTTCTTAGGAGAGTATTTATAACTAAAAGCCAAAGAAACAAAAACAAACCCACAAATGTTTTTAAAGTTTGTTTTCTTGGAGTTTTGTGGTAGTCACTCACATTATTTGCAAATGATGTTATTTATTCTTTCTACTTTTATACTTTTCCCCCCCTCAATTAAACTACTTTTGTCAGCACCTCTAGCACATTGGTAAATGATTATGTTGAATTGGGAATTTTTTGTTTTGCTTCTAACTTGATTTCAATACTCCTAGGATTTTCTGTTGTATATATTTCAACAGAACATATTGAAATTTATATATTTCATTTAATATTTCGGTTGAGTTGGAACCTTTTACTTTCAAAGTTGTTATTGTGTCTCGGTTTATTTAAAAAGTCAGCCAGAAATCTTAAGTTGAAAGAAAAGTTGAGAGGACCTTGCAAAGAATTTGTTTTTCCCTGAATTATAAGGGCTAGTTTAGTTGCCAGCTAGCCTGATAGTTCATTGTCTCCGTCTGAATACCTCAGTGTTTTATTTCCTACAAAGAAATACTATCCTGTGTAACACACAGCATCAATATCAGGAAGTTAGCCCTTCCTCAGGCTCCCTTCTTTCTGTACTGTCTGTCTTAATAGCTCTGCACAATCCATTACAGTTCAGTATCATACATTGCATTTGATTTCTGGTCTCTTTAGTTCTTCAACCTGGAACAGTTTTCTGTGACTTTACGAGTTAACTCATTTGAAGATGACAAGAAGACTGACGCGAAAGGACTCTAATGTTGAATTTCCTCAGTGTCTCCTTCGTCCTTTATGTCTTATAAATGTCTGTGAGCTTGAGGAGTACCATGGCTCCACGACTCTCTCAGGTTTGCTTTGCATGCATTGCCAGTTTCTGTAATCACTAACAGGTTTTTCTGTTTGATTATTAACTAGACTCTTGTGTGAATTCATAGATGAGGGAAGTGTCGTAGGAAGGCAGGCAAGTTGCCAGTGGGTTGGAGACTCAGTCACAGTATAGACTTTGTTATAGGTTGAACTGTAGAATCACCCAGGATCAGTGACATGTCAGAAGTTCAGAAATAGCCAAAGAATATAGAGGATGAAATTGGTGATTTATGTTATTATTACTTTGCTTGGTTACATTTGTTAGGTTTATTGTTTTTACTAACACTTTTTTTTTTAATGTACTCATTGCTCTGCCAAAGCAACTGGTTGCTTGGCCAAATGAATTGGGCTGACATATTCTTCTGATGAGCTTTAATTTTTTTCAGCTTGAAGCGTATGTGCCATTGTTCAATATATGTCATCTTAGAGTATATATATATATATACATTTAAAGCATTTTAGCATCTTTGAGGTGTGGACAGATAATTGTGGATGTTCAGTGCCTTTTCCCCTTTTTATCTAAATTTGACAGCCTGTTTCTATATACAGTTGAATTGTTGCCAGTCTTAATTACTTTAATAAGGAGAATGTCCTTTTAATTGAAATAAAATTTTAAGAGCTTTTTGAAATGAAAATAAACACATCATAGTACCTGTTTATAATTCAAGGTTATGAGGAATAGCAAATTGGATTTTATGTATGTTCATCATGGTACTAAGTAAGTAGAATTGAGTCTCATTTAAATTAAATAGAACTAAGTTTATTGGTTTATTCATTAAACCATTGTTGGACAACCCTCGAGATTCTTTAGGGATGTTTTAAAGTCTTCCTTAAGTGTGACATTCTTTCTTGAATGGGAAGTAGTGTTCATACACAGATAACATTGCTGTCTGTCCCTGAATTGCTGTGGTAGAAATGGGTGAGAAGAGCATGTGTGAATAGTAAATTGGGGGTTATCTGACGCACCTTAAACGAGCACCTTTCCTGCCTTTATAGAGCTTACAGACTGCTGGGACAAGCTAGCAGTCCAGCGCTTGCAGTTCTTTAAGCAGTGATGTTATTTCAGTCCTCAGTGTCTTTCCGTCCCTGCTGCTCTTTCCTGTCCCTTCCCTACTGAAGCTGAAAGTTGTGTGTCGTTTGTCTCATGGTGAAACGCTGGGTTGCTGTCGCTCTTCGGGGAGGGGCAGCAGTGTGCCGAGACTCGGCATCTGATTGTCCCTTTTCTCTTCTCTCTCTCTCTTCTCTCACACATGAGAGAAGAGAGCTACTTGTTGTTTGTAGAGTAAATCTAGGACCAAGTTAAGGACTCTCTTATAAAATTTAGATAATATCATGAAACTTTTGAAATTTCATACGTGTACTCAGTGTGCCTTGGTTCATACTCCCTCCCTCCCTTCTTCTCCCTAGCATCCTACTCTTCCCCATCTTATCTCCTGTCTTCCTCACAACTTCATGTCTTATCTACAGAGTCCGGTCCGTGCTGCCCATAGGCCCACATGGATGAATTAATCCACTGTTAGTGCTGCCCCTAGGCCCATGTGTATGGGGTCATCCACTGAAGTCTGGGTGACCTACCAGTGCCTGCCCACCCCAAAGTGACTGTCTTCCTCATCACCCCTAGGTACTGTCCTCTCCTCAGTGAGGAGTCAAGCATGAGGGGGTTTTCCTCCCTCATATGCTGGGATGTTAAACTTTCATCTTAATAATGAAACTCTTAATTTGGAAGAATTTATAAGAATTCTGGTCATTTTGCTTTCCTTCCTTCATTTTTTATAAAAATGAAGCATCTTCCAAGGTATTTTATACCTTGGACAAACTGCATGTCTGCTTTGTATCCTGTTTGTTGTTTTGTAGGTCCTTAGGGAAAATGGGGACCACAGGTGGCAACATCCCTTATCTGAAGTAAACTGCACATAGGTCTCTTGTGGATATTGTTTTCAAATGAAGACTTTACCCCTTCAGCTAATACTTCTTTAGTTTGCACTGTGGTGGATTTGAAAAGGAATTGTAGTAATTGCTATTTTAAAAGTTGTTTTTAAAATGTTGTTCTGAACTGAGTTTTGCCTTTCTCTCCCTTCCAGGCCCAGATTGCCTTCCTTCAGGGGGAGAGGAAAGGTCAAGAAAATTTGAAGAAAGATCTAGTGAGGAGGATCAAAATGTTGGAATATGCCCTGAAGCAGGAAAGGTAATCAGTGGGCTCCTTCTGTTCTCACCATCTTCATTATCCTACCGTTCTTGAACTAAAATCACATCTTAGTTCTGTGTACTCTGGAGAACCCACGAGTAGGGAATAAACATTTTATGTATGATTATGTGTGATTTATGTATGCAATATGTTAATCTTACCATAAATAATAATTTCAGTACAGTAATTTACATGCCTTAAAACATTTTAGCCTCATTTATTTACACTCTGCTTCTTCTGTGAAGCTCATGTTCTTTCTAGACGTCGACTGTCATCCGTTTCTCTCCATCCCACCTTCTGTTCTTTGTTTGTTTGTTTTGAGATAGCCTTAGACTCAGACTCACTGGGTGGACAGCGATGGCTGGCCTTGAACATTTTGTCGTCCTACCTCTTAACTCCCAAGGACTAAGATTATGTTCATGACTGAGGTGCCTATTTAACATATTTCCTGGTTCTCCTAGCATCCCCAGTCTCTACCCATTGCACTCTCTACCCTGAACTCTTCAGCCCAGGGCCTGGACTGCCTTCCGCTCCAGAGGCTCTTCCTTGTATAATTTAGACAATTTGGTTACCTCCCCCTTTTTTGTTCCTTTGACCTCTTGGCTACACACACACACACACACACACACACACACACACACACACACATGCACACATCCCCGCCAGTCTACTCTGGATGTTCCCAGATGTCCCTGTTCCTGCCTTTACCTACATTCTCTTTTTTAAATCTACAATAAACTTTCTTTTCCACCATACCTAAGAGCATTCATTTCCTGTCCTTTCCTTTTTATTTCCTGTTTTTTTCATCCATAGAGTAAAATTATATTTTAATTGTAAAGGAAATTTCTATGATGCTTCTCCCTTTTTTATGGTGTAATATTCAGTTTCATATAGTTTCCTAAAAAAAAATTGCTCTGATTGACAATGCTGTTTCATAGACTTTTAAAAAAATTTTTTTTCCTTTGTCCTGTGTGAGATACTCTTATCTCTCCAGGAGAGCTTGCCTAGTGATTTTGCTAGTGTTACATTTGGGTTAGAAGTAAAGGGAAATAGGTCACATGTGAGAGTTTGTGGATTAAGTTTCTTTAATGGGTTGTTTTTGGATTTTTTTTAATCAACAGTCTGAAGTAGTTCATTGTTTTCAGTAATCTGAACATTTGATAACCTGGTATTAGAATTCTCTGTTTTAGTACATTTTTGCCTTATTTTGATAGTCTCTTACTTTTCTTCCTTTTTTGAAGTTGACAAATGGGTAGGTGTAAAACTATCATAAAATAGCATTAACATTAAATATTTTTAAACGTTGAGAAATTGATACACAAGAGGTTTCTCTAGTTGGTGGAAAAATAAATGGATTTTTCTATGCCTTAAGAAGTTGATTGAAAGTGACATTAGGGAGATAAAAAGAAAACCATTTCTAAAAGTCTGTAATTTGGAAATATTTGACATCACAAGCTGTCTTCACTGTAGGCTTTTCCAGAGATGAGGAAGATGAGAACAGTAATAGATGAATTATTTCGAGTAAATACAGTGTGTGTCCTAGCTCACTTTCTGTTGCTGTGATATAAACCTATCAGAACCAACTTGGCAGAAAGGCTTTATTTCATTTAGAGCTTCCAGGTCACATCCATCACTGAAGGAAGTCTGGGCAAGAACTCACGGCCGGAATCTGGAGGCAGGAACAGAAGCAGAGACTATGCTTCCTGGCTTCCGCCATTTGCTTTTTTGTTTGTTTACTTGCTTGTTGTTTGCTTTTTTTCCTTTATTTAATTTTTTTGTGTGTGTGCATGTATGTCTTCACCACATATGTGCCTGGTACCTGCAGAGGCTAGAAGAAGATACTGAATCCTGGAACTAGGTTACACACAATTTTGAGCTTCCATGTGGTTGCTTGGAATTGAACCCAGGTCCTCTGGAAGAGCAGCCAGCACTCTTAACTGCTGAGACATCTCTCCAGCCCCTTCATTTGCTTTCCTCTTCAACTCAGGATTACCTGCCAGGGGTGCTCACAGTGGGCTGGGCCCTCCTACATCAATCTTTAATTAAGAAAGTACCCGACAGATATTCCCACAGGCCAATCTGATGGGGACAATACCTTAGTTGCTGTTTCCTCTCCCAGGTAACTGGAGTTTGTGTCAAGTTGACAAACCAGCAGTGTCCAGACCCAGAGACTTAAAATTAAGTAATTGTTGTAGAGTCATAGGTCAGAACTCTCCAGGCTGAATCTAAAGTCTGTACTCTTTTATTATTTTGTTATCTATAAGGCAGTAGAACTGAAACACAAATACTAAAGTAACCAGAAATGTGTGTGGGGGTTTGTGTGCACACATGAAGTCTTGTATCTAGACGTACACTGAGGGACTAGGTAGGGGCTGAGGTAGAAATGTGTACAGGATACACAGTGGGGTCAGAAAGAGGGAAGCAGCTCTACTACCATCACTTAGTGGCTTGAGCAGCATCATGACAGGTAAGATGCTTTGCCAGTGAGGCATGTGTAGAGAGTAGAGAGACCACGTCAGAACCAAGCAACGTGCACAGTAAATTGTAATCGTGTGTGAAGAGTGTTAAGAGTATAGTGGGCATTAGTTGTTATTTGATGACTAGAAATGGATTGTGGAATCTGTTTAAGGAGCTTAGACATTTACCTTAAGCGTGGAAGGAAACATGGAAAACTTTCAGATGTTTCCATCAAATGATCCTGAGCTAATTGGAGAGCTGCGAGAATTCTCTTGTACTCTTTACTCACCTTTTCCAACTATACATTTTCCTTTGCTTAATTATGCTTGGTGTCCAAGATCCTGTTTTTTCTTTTTTCCTTAAATTATTGCCTAACTCTCCCCTAACTAGTTTAATTTATAATTTCTTTTTTGTTTTTTTCCCCTGTGTTTTCTAAGAGCAGGAACCTTCTCTTATCTAACCACCATGCATTATTGTTAGTGAAACCTATTGTTGGTATAATTCTGTTACCTGTCAGATGTCCTGGTAGTGTTCTTCATAGTGGGCCATCCCCTACCTCCAATCTAGGATCCAGTCTGAGATCATGCTGCCAGGGGAAGGTTTTAAGCATGACATACATTTTAGAAATATCTCCCCTGGGGCTGTACTGGAAAGGTCTGCTTATCAGGGCAGGAGCGTAATAATAAATGAGAAATGATAAACATAGTACCTGCTGGAATAGTAGTATCTGCCATAAAACATTTTAAGTACAAAGAATCTAAAAGGTGGAGATATAAAAATGTGGAGATGGTATCCTAAGAGAGATGGTATCTCCTAAGAGAATGACTCCCAGGTTACTGTCTTGGGAGGGAGGCAGTGGAACAAATTAAAGAATACAAGTGAAGGTGGATTGCTACTGAGCCATATCCAAGGAGAGAAAGTCGGTTGAAGCCATGGGAAGCAGGTGCATTAGAGAAGGGATAAGGAGGAAGAGTCAAAAAAGGAATCACCGAGGAGGGAGAGGCGGTGTTTGCAAGAGGAAGGAGAGGGAGGTAGACACTGCCAGATGCCAGAGCAGTCTCCATGCAAGCTGTGGCTGAGTGTAGTCATTGGGGCTTGCCCATTTGTGCCTGCTGATGTCCTTGACAGGACAGCTCCCCAGAGGTGCTAAGAACAGGAGCCAGGCCACAGGAAGAAACAGAGGGAAGGGAAAGCAGAGACAGGTGAACCCCCTGACTGTTTGCAGATGGTTGCAGAGCAGAGGAGAAAGAACTGGATAAGTCTAGGGAGATTTCTTTTCTTTTCTTAACCCACCACCCTTTAACAGAGAGATTCAAAACTAATTTTGGTTTTCTGGGTGCTGGTGAGGTGATGTGGGGGTTTTTCGATCCAGTAGCACTTGTTTTGCTCAGTTTGGTTAGTTGTTTTCCCTTGGACAGAGTCGTGATGTGTAGAGTTCACATTCATCAGCTGTGGAACCCCTGTAGTCTGCTGGGATTATATGCATGCCTCACCATGCACAGCTGCATGAAACTTTAAAAAAAGATTCATCATTATTATTATGATTAGTTGTATTTCATGTGTGTGGATGTTTCGCCTGCGTGTATATATGTGCACCATGTGTGGGCATGGTATCCCCAGAGACCTGAAGAGAGTGTTGGATTCCTCTGGCATTGGAGTTATAGAAAGTTGTGAGTTGCCATGTGGGTACTGAGAATTAAACCCAGGTCCTCTGGAAGAGTGGCCAGTGCTCTTAACTGCTGAACCATTTCTCCAGCCCCTGCAATGACACTTTTTGAGGACATTAACAGATACAAAGCATGTTCTTTATATCATGGAACATTTGACTTTTTTTCAGTCCTAATCCCAGGAATTAAGAGAAAATGGATTGAGGACATTTGAAACAAAAATTTGGAGACATTAGCAACTTAAAAATTGTGTGTGTGTGTGTGTGAATGTTCTTGTGTTTGAGTATAGGTGTGCACATGCTATACAGTGTGTACGTGCTACGGTACATGAGTGAAGGTTAGAGGGTGACCTTGAATGTGGGTACTCACCTTCTTTGAGACAGGCTCTCTTGCTGTTTACCACTGCTGTGTCAGGCTGCCTGGCCTGTGAACTTCCAGGGATTACATACATGAACTCCTCTTCTGGTTTTGTATGTATGTTTGTTCTGGGGATCTAAACTTAGGTCCTTATACTGGCCTTATACTTAATACTTTACCTGGGGAGCCATCTCCTAGACCAAACTTAGTAACTTTATACACACTCTTGCAAGCTTTAATAGTTACTGTGTTTGTCACACACTTTGCCCTGGTTTGTTTTTAATTTAATTTTGTTACATTAGTTTATTGCAATACAGTCACAGATAGAAATATCATACAGCAAGATTAAGGTGGCCACTCAAACACTTTTGCAGCCGTGAATCCCAGTTAACTTTTGTACAGCTAGAATGGCCATTCAGAGGTCAGAACCTCACTTATGATTTTCTACTTTTAGTATCAGTTACATTCTTATGGCCCTGAATCATTTTAAAGGCAATTCAGTATTACACCATTTCACCTATAAACAGCTAAGTAAAGATCAGTGTAGATTTTCTAAGTTCCCCTCTTTAAAGAGACAAAATAAGAACTGAATCCTTAATATAGATGAACTACTTACCTAGCAATGAATTTATCAAAACTTCCCATAAAGCACAGTAAACTTTAGAGAATAAGGAGGCTTACGTATTTCTTTTTGACAGTGAAGTGTTTGATTCCACATTTTTTCAGCAATTTAATTTTAAGGAATCTATGTAAAACCAACTTTGAAGCTCTCTCTTGTGTTTCCCATTTCTCTGTATTCATTGTTATGTTTATCTTTACTGTAATAGTCCAGCTGTCTTCTTGCTTTTTTATTTCCAAATTCTAATTCATCTTCTAGGTGAAAAGTAAAATTTTCCAAATTAAAAAAGGAATAATCATAATATATCCCTGCTTTAAAATACCTGGTTAATTTCAAAGCTATTCCTATGTAAGTAGCATTTTTTTTCTGATACCTTCTGTGAACTCTGTTTCTTCTAATTCTTTTGCTTGCTATACCTAGTGTTTGTCATATTTTGACCTACTGAATGTTTATTTTTAGGAGACAGAGGTTGTCCTAAACACAACAGTCATTTGTGCAAATCCAGACAGAAATCTCTTGTACATCTTCATGGTTGAGGTTTAGTCAAAGTCTCATGTTATCTCTTCTGTAGTTTATCTGACACTATGTTTTGCAGAGTTAGATAATTCTTTGCCCACATTCTTCAGATATATGCTTACAGTGCTTATGTCAGTATGCAATACTTTTTTTATTTTCCTATGTCCTAGGCATCCTCTTGTTTTCACCTTACCTCACAATAAACTGCAGGTTATCTCCAGCAGTCAGCACCGTGACCGTGTGTATGATAAGAATTCAATAGTGTGTTGAAATTAATCACTAGGAAATGAGTAGATGGCTCAACGAGTAAAGTTCTTGCCATGCAAGTATAAAGACATGAGTTCAGATCCCCAGCCTTCACAAAAAACAAAGCAACCAGGCACAGTATACTTCCATGTAATTCCAGCATGGGGGCAGAGATAGGCACTTGAGTTTTACTGATGAGCTAGTGTAGCTGAAATGTATCTGAAATGGCAAACTCTGGGTTCTATAAAAATTCTGTCTCAAAAAACAGTATACAAAATGATAGTGGAAGATACTTAGCCTTGTCTTCTGGCTCTACACACAAACACATGAGCATGCATACCAGTACACTCACTTGTACATGTGTGTTCACACACACACACACACACATACACACACACACACACACACACACATCATTCTTTTTAGTGTTAGCATTTTAGATGTGATTGGACATGTTTTTTATTCCCAACATTTTATTTATGAGGTCGGGTTTTTAAACAAAGCTAAAATAAGAATTCTTTAGTGTATTATAACTTTGAAACATGTTTTATACTATGCAGTAAAGGCCATTTGGGGGTGGGGAGCGTAGGTAATGTATGAAGTAATGAGATCTGTAGTTATCCTGTAGGTCATGAGACAGAAAAATAATAAACAAGATTGTTAACAGAATGACTTGAAGTATGAAAACAGTAGGAAGCCATGAGTTCTTGAGAAACATTGTAGCATTTTCTCTCTCAGAATGTTCAAAGTTTGAAGAGGACTATTAGTAAAGTTTGTTTAGAAAATTTAATAAGAGGGAAACACAGATCTTAGGAACCAGAGCTTATCCTAAACAGTTATTTACATATTTTATCTTGGTTTAATTTTTTGTGAAATAGTAGTTGATAACATGTCTGTCTTGTTACATATATTGTATATAATGTTTTTTTGGTTATTTTAAAAATAATTTCTGTTGCAGTTTTTTCTAAGACCACTAGAATGCAGTATAATGCAACATGTTGTATTGAGAAATGCTTTTTCTCTGTGTGTTTACAATTTTGAGATTACTTTTATTTGGTGTTATCTGATGTCAGGCCAGTTATGTGACTTTTAAGAAGTTAGTGTTACTTTGTGGCAGATGAAATATTTCCGGAAATCTGAAGAATGACAATTGCATTAAGTAAATTGTTTACTTTCTTCTGGGAGTCAGGCAAATATCTCCACAGCTTACCTTCTGATCCTCAAGTATATGGAAATAGATGTGGACATTTTGAGTTGATGAAATCACGGTATTAAGAGACTCATTGGGATATCGAGAAGCATGTTCTAGATAATTTGGTGCCTATAATCTGTAAATTGTCTTAAGACTCTCCTCTATATAAAAAAATACGGTTTTTATCAATAGCTACAAAATGATTATTGAGAAACAATGAAGGATTTCAGTAACTTATATATCAGAGTGAATAATTTTCTTTATCTAATTTTAAATTATATAAAAATCTTAGGATAAGTGTTCCATCATTTTTTAAAACAATTTTAACTTTTATTTTTTGTGTGTGGTTTCTTTTTTTGCCAGTGTATATGTACATGTGTACATATGTATGTACATGCACCATGCATGTGCCTGTTGCTGAGGAGGGCTCCTGATCGCTGGAACTAGGGTTACAGATGATTGTGAGCCATTATGTAGGTACTTTGAATCATGTTTCAAGAAGAGTAACCAGTGCTTTTAGCTAATAACTGATAGTCATCTATCCAGAACACCCTCCACAACCGTCCCCCCATACCATTTTTTTTTAAATAAGGAAGAAATGCTTTCAATTTGGCTATGTTGCCTTTTCCTTCATTCTTACTTTGGTTCTGAAAATTACTTTTATTTGAATATTTTATTGTTGTCTGTCTTAACTTATGAATATTTGCTCACAAAAAACCTTCATCTTGTAGAGAAGAGTTAAAAATACAAATATATTAAGCATATGTATTATTTTTAGTTAATCTTAAAATTTCCTTATGTGGATAATTTTTCTTGTTTTGTTTGCCTTGATCTGAGATGGTTGCATTAGAATACTAGTTCAGTTAGCTGAAAATAATAATACTCTGCTAACTTTAAAAAGAAATTAGACAGTCTTCTTAATTATGTTTTTTTCCTGACTAAAGATAAAGTACATGTTAACCACCACTGCTAGACTATCTCACTGCACAAGGATGACTTCATCTGGGCTTTGCTGTGCTCTGATTGCTCACCATAAGAATATTTGGTGAATTGTAAGTACCGAGTAAGGCACATAACAATATAGATAATGTTTCTTTTTAAGATAAACACAAGTATTGAGACAGGCTAGTCTTAATAAATTAAATTGTATAGTAAAGGCCTCTTTTCTTAATTGTTATAATTCAGCTTAAAATCATTAAGAAATTTTGAATACAGCAGAAACTAGAATTTATGTGGTTCATTCTAGATATAAAATGAAATTTTTTATTCCTAGTATTATCCCTTTGTTTGCTTCGTTATAATGGCAGTTGGTGATTCAACAACCAAAACAGCAAATTTTTGTTTTTTGTTTTTCGTTGTTGTTTTTGTTACAACTTTGATACCATGGAAATCTAAGCGCCTTTGAAAGTTCTAGGCATGTTTAACCGGGACTGTTGCACACTTATAACTTCTTTTATATATCTTAAAGCTTATTTAACTTATTTTAACATGGTTTGTATTTTCTCATCTCTTTGTTAGAGCCAAATACCACAAGTTGAAATATGGGACAGAACTGAATCAGGGAGACATGAAGCCTCCAAGCTATGATTCTGGTAAGCTTCTTATAATGGAAGTTTAAGTTAAATCTAATATTTTGTAGAAACATTTGAAACTAGAAGTTAGTATCTATTTGCATGTTATTTTTGTTGTCTTGTTTTTGGAAACTAATCATTTCGTATCATGAGATCATTTTGTAGCACTTTCTTTTCTCCATCCCTTTTTTAGTTCACCATGTTCTGCCTATGTTTTACATACAGTAGAAGGTTCATGGGGTGGCTCACCAGCCTACTTCTTAGTGTGTCTTCCTTGCATTAACCAAAACTTTTGGCATGAGAAAGCCAAAGTGCATGCTGTTCTGAAATCCCGTTGAAGAGCAGAACTATGGAAACACGAAGTTTCTTCTCTGACCATACAGGGACTGATGCCTCAGTGGGCTGGGGGTGCGGTTTAGCCTGTATCAGACCCTACGTTCAGTCCTCAGTACTACTAGCAGCAAAAAGCAAACAAACTTGACTCCTTAGGCGAACTTTTTTTCTTAATGGAACACAGGGTATGTTCCTTAGCAGATGTAAATGAAGAGTGAGGAAAATTGTACCAAAGTTATTACCATACTTAATTTCTGTCCTATTTCAGATGTAATTCTTATTCAGATAGTGAAGGTAGTAGCAATCATTTGTATGTCATCTATTAAAATCCCTACCCGTAATTTTAAGAGCTTCATTAACTTTAATGATTTAGTGAAGATATTGTTATTCTCATTTTATCTATGCAAAACTAAATGTCACGAAGTTAGAGAATTTTGCGTGAGGTTAACCAGTAATTAAATGGTGAGGTATATGGAGTGAACTCAGGCTTACCAGACTCAGAAATTCATATTCTTTGCATTTTCCACATTTGAGTACAATGGAGAAGCTTTCCAAAGTGGATTCTAAATGTAATGGTCTCACTTTACATCCCGGAGTATTTCAAGTATGTTCTTAAGGTTCCCCCAAATTCTTAGTTATCTGTTGTCTCTCTGTTGACCTCTAACTTTATTAATTTGAGTTTCCTATGTCTTTTAGCTAATTCAGCTCAGGCTTTGTCAGTCCTGTTTATCATTTCTTTCATTCTTTACACTTTTTCTATTTCATTTATTTCTGCTCCAGTTTTGATAATTTCTTTCCACCTATTCCTTTGGGTTTTTTTTTCTTTTCAAACTATTGAAGTGCATTTTAAGTATTTATTTGGATTCTTATTCTTTTCTTATTTTTCCATTTTAATTGTGTGTATGATATATATGAACATGTGCACATGAACGTGGGTGTAGGTTTCTGTAGAGGCCAGAGCAGGTCACAGGACACGTAGAGCTAGAATTACAAGTGGTTGTGAGCCAGCTGATGTGGATGCTGGGAACTATACGTACTCCTAACTGCTGAGCCACTTCTCCAGTCCCTCTTTCTGCTTTTTTATTTCTATTTGAGGTATTTTTTTTAAGTTTTAACACTTATGCAAAATTTTATTCATTTTATAATCATTATTTATTTATTTATAGATGACTGTCATGCAGTTGCCCTCATACTTCCTATGTAACTGAGTCAATCTTTCATCTTCTCCTGTCTCTATTTTCTAAGTCTTAGATTATATAGGTGCATCTCATCCTCATTGGTTCAATAAGATATGTTAAAATTTCTTCCATGATAATTTTCATCAAAATGTGGCTTTCTGCATCTCGGTAACACATTGTTAATAAAAAAATACTCTTCTTTTTCTTTTACCCCATTGCATGTATAATCTTGTTAATGCCTTATAAAAAAATCTCTCTACATTTAAAGAACAGCAGCATATGCAGGGTTTTAATGGTGTACTCCTGCCTATTTTGATCATGTTTAATGTTCCATATGTTTGATGGATGATTGCCAAGTTTGTTTTTTCATGCAGAATATCATAGGGTAGAATGAAAATTTGTTAGAAAAAGCAGAGAAACCAGAGTGAAATTATAGAGTGATCTCAACCTAAACTGAACTTTTCTTTGGCATGAATTTCTTTCATAAATCATAAATGGAGACCTATAGCAAAACTTTAATATCTATCCAGCTGAAACTAACATTCAGTGTTTTATATAAAGCAAGGCATCGTGGGTAGTAGCCAGTGCATTTTCTTTTAGTATGTTATTAAGTCATTATATATCAGTCACAATCACCAATGAGGCAGTTACTCTGAATTTTAGTATTTTGTCCATAGCAACTGCAGAACAGAAATGCCCTTATTTGTTCAATTGAAGAAACAATCCTTTCTCATCACACATAGCTTTTGAGAGGTATTTGCTCTTCAAAACTATGGAAGAAAATAATAGAATATTCAGTTTATGATTTCTTATAATCACAACATTTAAAAATAATGTTATCAGTATAAATAATGATCTACTTAAGAAATGTAGTATTATCAGTGATGACACTCTAGCCTAATTTAGGACAGTTACCTTAAAATATATTGATCTATTTTATATAAATGTGTGTGTCACACATTTTTTTTTATTGATTTTTATTGAGCTTTACAGTTTGCTCTCCTCTCTGCCTCTCCCCTCCCCGCTTCAAACCTCCCCCAAGGTCCCCATGCTCCCAGTTTATTCAGGATATCTTGTCTTTTTCTACTTCCCATGTAGATTAGATCTATGTATGTCTCTCTTAGGGTCCTCATTGTTATCTAAGTTCTCTGGGATTGTGGTTTGTAGGCTGGCTTTCTTTGCTTTATGTTTAAAAACCACCTATTAGTGAGTATATGTGATAATTGTCTTTCTGGGTCTGGGTTACCTCACTCAAAATAATGTTTTCCAGCTTCATCCATTTTCCTGCAAATTTCAAGCTGTCGTTATTCTTTTCTGCTGTGTAGTACTCCATTGTGTAAATGTACCACTTTTTCCTTATCTATTCTGCTGAAGGGCATATAGGTTGTTTCCAGATTCTAGCTATGACAAACAAAGCTGCTGTGAACATAGTTGAGCACATGTCCTTGTGGGACAATTGAGCATCCTTTGGAAATATACCCAAAAGTGGTATTACTGGGTCTTGAGGAAGGTTGTTTCCTAATTTTCTGAGAAATCGCCAAACTGACATTCAAAGGGGTTGTACCAGCTTGCATTCCCACCAGCAATGCAGGAGTGTTCCCTTTTCCCCACAACCTCTCCAACGTAAGTTGTCACCTATTTGAGGTATTTAAAGCTATAAGTTTCCCTCTTAGGTTTGCTTTCATTTTATCTCAGAGTGTTTGGTATATTGTGTTTTCATTTCATTCCAAGAATTTTTTTCCTTTCTTTATTCTTCAGTGGTCCATTCATCATTTAATATTGTCTTGTCTTACTTTGCTTTGTCCTGTTTTGTTTCGCCAAGGTCTCACTATGTAGCCTCTGCTGTCATGGAACTCTCTGTAAACCATGCAGGTCTCACAAAGATCTGCCTGCCTCTGCCTCCAAGACCTGGGACTAAGGTCTGTGCACCACACTAGCTTGACACTTACTATGATTTTAGTCTCCATTACTTTTTGTGTTTTCTGTAGTTTCCTTTGTTCTGTTATCAAGCTTTATTGCATTGTGGTCAGAGAGAATACATGGAGTTATTTCAATTTTTCAAATTTGTTGAGAGTTGCCTTATGTGGCAGAACATGTCTATTTTAGAGAAACTTCCATGGGCCGTTGAGAGGAATTTTATAAGGTTTGGGCAGAAAATTCTGTAGATATCTGTTAAGTCTATTTTGTACTTGATGATATTTAACTTTAATGTTTCTATTTTCATGTGGAAACCAGCCCATTTGTAAAACTGGCAATTGAAGTGACCTGCCATTACTTTATTAAATGTGGTTAAATCTGGCTTAATGTTTTCTAGTATTTCATGAATTCGGATGCCCTGGGTTTGATGCTTAAATGCCTACAATTATAATATGGTCTGTGGGTTGTTATCTTGATCAGAAGGAAGTGGCCTTCTTTACTTTTTCTGATTAGTTTTGGCTGATGTCCATTTGTCAGGTAATAGAGTAGTGATATATCTTCTTTTTTCCTGGTCCATTTGGGTATAGTTACTTTCTTTGGATCCATTCACTCAGTATCTATTCTTGAGCATGAGGTGTATTTCTTGTAGACAAGAGAAAGGTGGACCCTGTTTTCTAGGACAGTTGGTTCTAATATAGTTGTATCTTTTAATTGGGGGTTTGAGGGCCCTGGTACTTGGAACTGTTATTGGAAGGTAGGTATTAATCACTGTCATTGTTGATTTTGTGATGTGTGGTAGTCTTATTTGGCTTACCTGTTAGCCTGTCACCATTAATCTTTTTCCCATTAGCCTACTGAGAATGCTCATCCTCCTGTTCATCCCAGAGTGTTCCTTGTATTCGCTGTAGGCCGGTTGTTAGTCACAAAGTTCCCACCAAGAAGTCAGCTTTATTCTCATGGGCCTGCTGTATATGGAACCTTAGACTTTATTTCTTTCATCCACTTTTCCTCCACTTTTCCCCTGTATATTTAGTGTGGGGAGTTCTTCTCGGGTCTTGTTTGCTCTGTATACTCCTTGTACTGAATGGGTGTCCATTGCCAGGATTTTATTGGAGATGTGATTGACGCCTTTGACCTGGAATTATTTTTTTTCTTTCTCTTATGTCTATAATTCATAAATTTGGTCTTCTTGTGGTATTTCAATAATCGGTGAATTTTATTAATTTTTTTAAAAATTGCCATTGTCTTTTTAATTGGTGGAGCCTGAGAGGATAGAACCCAGGGGAACTAGTCTCTTGCTTGGCAGTGTAAGCAACTGGAAGGGCCCGAGGCAGAGTGGTGGGCTGAACAGGTTGGCAGCCCTAAAACAGGCCCTGTCTGCTGGTGAGCTCAGCTAGGGTCCTATAGGCAGCGTTTCATTCTGAGAACCTGAAGCTCCCAGATCAGCTAGACAGACTGGCCAGTAAACCTCAGGTACCTCTCTGTCACCAGTTCCCCAGTGGTGGGATTATTAAACACACACTGGTTTATTTTGTTTGTTTGTTTGTTTTGTTTTGTTTTAAAATTTGTTTTAAATTTATTTATGTTTTATGTATGTGTGTTCAGCATGCCAGAGAGGGCATCAGATCCTATTATAGATGGTTGTAGCCACCATGTGGGTGCTGGGAATTGAACTCAGGACCTGAGGAAGAACAGCCAGTGCTCTTAACCACTGAGCCCCTTGTTTTGTTTTTTAAAATAATTTTACTTTTGTAAATATGAGTGCTAGGATTTAACTCAAAGTTACATGTTTATGTAGCAAGTGCTTTACTGGTTGAACCAGGACCCTGAAGCTCCGGCAAAAAACATCATTAAAAAAGGAAAAATAGGCAATTTTTCAAAAGACTATCATAGGTATGTAGTATCTGATTCAAATCTGTGTGTTTATCTCAGTGCTTTGATTAAAGACCGCTGTGTGTGTGTGTTTCAATTATTTTAGTCACCTCCACCATAGAATTTATAGAGCTGTTTAGTAGTACAAAGGTCTAGTTACTTTGCATAAAAGAATTTTATTGGGGTTCCATAAATGGCTTAGCGATGAAAAGATTGAGAACCCAGACTGGGCTTCAACTTTTGATCTTCCTGTCTCCACCTCCCAAGTGTAGATTGTAAACGTGTGCTAGCATGCCTGATTTCCTGAAGTGCTTGGGATAGAGCCCATGCATGGCGTTACCCACGGAACCACATCATATCCCTAGCTGAGATCATTTCTTTCATTCGTTCCTTTGTTCATTTTGTTTTATTTTGCTTTGTTTTGAGACAGGATTACTCTGTGTAGTCCTGGCTGTCCTAGAATTCACTCTGTAGACCAGGCTGGCCTCTAACATCAGCTCTCTAAACACCTGCCTCTGCCTCCCAAGTACTGGGACTAAAAGTGTGTGCCGCCACCACCACCTGGCTCTGAGATATTTTGTTTACATATTTGTATCAGACTGTTTGGGGGTTTTGTTTATTTTTCTTTTACCACTTCTAGGTTTTATAATATTTCTATTTACTTCTCAAGGGAGGAAAATTCTCAGGCTAGTGAAAAATGAAAGAAAAAAATGTCTTTATTCTTAATTCTGTTGCTCTAAAGAGAATCCAATAGAGATACTTAATGATATAGAATTTTTTATTACTAAGATTTTAGTTAAAAAGTTTATATTGACCTAAAACATAACTCTTATAAGTTACAATTTTTGTATTCTTAACCTTATAATGTTTATTGGACACTGTTTATGAATTGGGTTGCCTAAACATGTCAAATAAGTCAATTTCATTATGATAATAATCTCTAGATGAAGGCAATGAAACAGAGGTGCAGCCGCAGCAAAACAGCCAGTTGATGTGGAAACAAGGCCGTCAGCTACTCAGACAGTAAGTACTGAAGGTTAGATGCACAACTTGCTGAAAACGAGAAAACTTTTGTTTGTATTTTGTTTTAAAAGATTTATTTATTTATTCGGTATACTGTGTTCTGCCTGCATGTATGTCTTCATGCCAGAAGAGGAGAGGGCTAGATGGCTATGAGCCACTATGTGGTTGCTGGAAATTGAACTCAGGACCTCTAGGAGAACAGCCAGTGCTCTTAACCTCGACGCCATCTCTCAGCACCCTTGTTTTTATTTTTAACTCATTAAGTTTCCCTTGTATTATACCACAGATGAGAGTAGTAAATAGTAAGGTAGTTTTTAAAAAGCTTAATTGATTTACTATTTGTTTTTCATATTTCATTTTCCCCTCACTGTTGGAATTTCTGTAGTTAAAAGAATCTGTGTCGTCATTCTCATTTCATTAGTGCTCTAAACATGGATGTTTCACACAAACCGGTAAGGACTCCCATATATATTTCTGTTACAAGTCTTCTCAGGACACTGAAGAACTCTTTGGGTCCCTGAATTTTGCAGGTGCTGCCCAACATCTACTTTCTCCTATATGCATAACTAGGGGTCTACAGAGGTCCTGATGTTAAGTCAAAGACTAGATCTGTAGTCTGGGAAACTAGCATACTGAAGTATGCCAAAATAAAAGACTAGATCTGTAGTCTTGGAAACTGGTGTACCGATGTATGCCAAAATAAAAGAAAATTTGTTCTGTTTTGAACTTTTAGAATGGCTTGTTAGTAGTTTATTTCTCAGATTTTTAAAGTAGATTAATGCCATCCACTACATTTGAGTATAGAAAGAGAACGTCACAACATTTCGTGCCTGTCTTTTATCTAGGCAAAGTTAGAAAAAAATTAAACTATTACATGGATTTTCATTACTGTTCTCACTTTAGTCTTAACTATGACATGTATTGTCCTTTTAAATTTATTTTTGGTACTGTGATATTTTGGTTCTGTCAGTTGCCAAGCCTCACAAATGACCTACTCTTGAGCCTCACATACCTCCTGTTTGCTTGTTTACTCGTGTCTTTATTGTCATGCACTCATTAAGTTGCCTAGGCTTGTCTTGAATTTGTAACATTCCTTCCTGAACCTCCTCGATAGCACACACCTGTCACTAACGCGGTTGAGGAGGCTCAGGAAGGAGTATTACAAATTCAAGGCTAGTCTAAGTAACTTAATGAGTTTTGTAAACAGAAATTTGTGATTTAATGTTGTTGCCAAAGTGAGGTGCATACCAAATATTAATTATTAAGAAAAATATCCTGGAGATGGCCCAGTAGTTTCAAGCACTGGCTATTTTTTCAGAGGCCCTGGTTTGGTTTCCATAACCAATATGGTGATTCAGCACCATTTGTAACTGCAGTTCCAGGGCATCTGATGTGCTGTTCTGACTGCTGCAGACACCAGACACTCACGTGGTACACACACGCACGCATGCATGCAAAACATTCAAGCACATGAATAAGCCTAAAACCTATGTCTTACTTTATTACAGTAGTTTTCAAAACATCTGATTAAATTCAATAAGTATAAATTTTTAAATCAAGACTTTTCTGTAGATACTGAATGGAAGTGAAAAGTGAACATCTTGATTTAATAAGATATATTGATCACATAGCTTTGTGAGGTGTCTTTCATCTTTCCTTTGGTAGAATACACACCTACTGTATAAAGAAATGTGTGTCATCTGCCATGACATCCATGTCGTTTCCTTTGTTCTGGGTCCACCACTACCACTTTTGATCTTTTAAAACAAGTTATTATCAACATAATAACTGATTATTGGACTCTTGGTTGCTTTTGTGTATATTATGGGTGGTATTAGGACTCCTTGATGAGTATAGAAACAGTTTAATCAAACTAAGGCTGCACATCATGGAAGTGGCAGAGATGGGCTTAAGACCTAGATATGACTGCATACGCTATGCTCTTCTTTACTGTGCCTCTGACTCCCTGGAACTTCACACACTGATATGAGTCTGTATACCTCATGCCCCACAATTTAATTGTCTGTTTTGTTTTAGAATTTCTCAAGACAGAAATGTCTCTTCTACAAGTGACTGTTATGAAAAATGTTATCCTTTTCTATGTTCTGGAAAGAAGCCATTTAGATTAGAAACATTCTCTCCAGATTTCAGTTAATGACACTTCACATAAGAAATGCTAAAAACAACTGGAGCCATTATTGTAAAATAGTGATGGTAGAGTTTGGAGGGGATTGTTCTATTCTTCCTAAAGAAAAAAGTGTGCTCTGAAACACACTGAAGAACAGTTTCTTCTTAGGATAAATGAATAGTGTTATTGTATACTTCTTCAGTTTTTCTCAGTGACTATAGAGGCTGGTACTGCAAGAGACAGCTCCATCTGCAGCTGGAATATTATTAGCAAGTCTTACTGACATAGTACTGTTCTGTTGATCCCTATGTAGTCAGTGAGTTTGAAGAAATACTTTTATTTACATTTTAAATTTTACAATGCTAATTCCTGTGTGACTGAATTGTAAGGACCGTCTTTGTGCAGGTATCTCCAGGAGGTCGGCTACACAGATACTATTCTAGATGTGAAATCCAAAAGAGTACGAGCATTGTTGGGCTTTTCAAGTGATGTCACTGACAGGGAAGATGACAAAAACCAGGACTCGGCTATAAATGGCACAGAGGCTGAAGTTAAGGAGACAGCAATGATTGGGTGAGTATTTTAACTGGGAATTGTTTTAGCTATAACTTCAGTTTTTATTGAATAGTTTTGGTGTGGAAGGCATTGAACTTTTGATGGTGACTTAGTAATAAGTTTAGTTAATTAAATGTTATAATATAAAAGTTTCAATTAGAAACCTTTATGATTATTTTATTTCAGGAACATAATTTTTGTTTAAGGTATTTTATTTGCTTTAAATTGAGGTATTTAACAGATTTTAGTATCTTGAAGCTTTTTTTTAACCACTGTTGAATCTCATAAAAGATGTTCCAATTAAATACAGATATGCAATAATGATGTTTTATTGATGAAACAGAAATCAGAAAGTAAATATTTTCTTAACCATTTCATGTATAACATAATATTGTACCTTATCTTTCCTTTGATATAAAATAGCTATTTTAAATATATATGTGTATACATACATATACATATAATTTGAATAGATTATAAAAATTCAAAAATTATTTGAACTATTTGATTTTTGTTTCAGACCACAGACCATAGACATACTTTACTTAAATGAACATAAGTAGTTTAATAGAATTATTCTTTATTAGAGAAATTTGTCATAAGTCTTCACTGAATAAAAAAAAAAACCCAAAGATTCTGTGAATGTCTAAGTCTGTGTTGACTTTGTCTTAATACATATTTAGGATAAAAGAATGGTTGATTGAGCTCTGTAAATTTCTTTGGAAAAACATTTCCTGTTGTTTGAAATATAAAAATAAAGAATTAGATAAAGGTCCAAAACAAATTATAAATACATGTCTTTTGACCTTTTAAAATTGCAACACAATTCTCTTTAGAGACACACAGAAGTGCATGCTGTGAATTGGTTGTATTTTTTCCCCTTTGAAGTTAAGTCAATATATTTGTTATATCGGTGTGGAAACTTACATTAGAGGTCAAAGAAGAGTTACGGAGGAGAAAGGCTAGAGAAAGATGGAGGCAGAGCTACTTAAGACAATATGTATGATTATATTAACATGAAGATAACCTGTGCTCGCTCAGTAGGGGACTCTGTATTGGAGCCGCTCTTTTAGACAGCTAAGACTGAAGATGACGGAAGTGCTTGCATACTTCTTTTTTTTTTCTTTTTTTCTTGTTTTTTGAGACAGGGTTTCTCTGTGGCTTTTGGAGCCTGTCCTGGAACTAGTAGCTCTTGTAGACCAGAGCCTGGCCTTGAACTCACAGAGACCCACCTGCCTCTGCCTCCCAGAGTGCTGGGATTAAAGGCGTGCGCCACCACTGCCCAACTTTGACTACTTCTTGTCTTACCTTTTTAATTAATCCACAGAAATGTAATAGATGGGAAACAATGTAGACCATATTATAGTTAGGGGGTCATATATAATATAAACATAAGTTACTAAAGTCTGTCAGCAGTTAATTTTTATGGTGACATTTTGAAATATTACCTGAGTATGGTTGTACATGTTTTGAACCAGAAAATCCGAGTTAACGGATTCTGCCTCTGTGCTGGACAATTTCAAATTCCTTGAAAACGCAGCTGCAGATTTCAGTGATGAAGATGAGGACGAGGACATTGATGGAAGAGAGAAAAGTGTCATTGATACCTCAACAGTGAGTTAGAAAACTCATTTTTCAATACTTTACGTGTCATAATGCATATGTTAAAAAGCCCATGTCCTTTACATCTTGAGTACTTAAATTCTTTTCACGAATTTCGGGCAAATAAAGTGTTTTTTATTACTGACTTTAATTTCAATAATATTTTTAGGATAGAATCTTTCCCATAGAGTACTCAGACCTTTTCTTTGCTCATTAAATGAAGCAGCATCTCCATAAAACTGCAGAGATGCTGAATGCTGCATGTTGTAACAATGCCCTGGTGTTGATAATTCTGACAGGAGAACTGACGGACACGTGGTGGTGCCTGATGGCAGCTGGCATCAGCTCTGAGACTTGTAGTTTTTGTCTCTCTTAGGAGAACTGCTGCACAGACAGTGTCTGCAGATTTCAGGAATTTCCCATGTCTTTCTTCAGTTGTTTAGAATTCGTAGGTGTTTTTATTCCATCTTTATTAAAGTTTATTGACTTAACCATACATTCCCTACAGTAAGAAGTGTCTCTAAGTTGCTGTTCCTTCTTTCTCTAGTCTCTTCCCTCCTTCTTTTCCCCCTTTATTTCCTTTTCTCCTTTCACTGTTTCCTCTTTCTCCTTTTTAAAGTAAGGAATGAAGACATGCTTCAGTCTGTTTAGCCAAGCGTCTGCATTTTCTCAGTGCACTAATCATTTACATTGCTGATCCTAGCCCTGTCATAGATACATTTGAATATCAAATGTCACTCAAATTTTCCTTCACTAAACAAGTTATAATAGTATGTGCTGGCCTAAATGTCTGTCACTTTTTCTTTGTCTTAATTATCTGAAGTTGTATGGTTCCTTATGGTTTTTGATGTGATGACTATTTTGAGATACCATTTTCCTATTAAAAAAAACTTATTCATAGCAGATAGCATAGTAGCAAATAACTCTCGTGTTATATGTTTCTTTGTTGGTAATTATATCAATCTAAATAAATTGACTTTAAAAGTATGTTCAATGATCAGATTGAAAATTTCTAACAGTAGCCTAACCATTTGCTTTCCTAATTCCTAACCATTTAATTTCTTTTTATGTAATAATATTCTTAAGTACTGATGACATTCTAGTTAGCACAGACCATAAGCTATTATGAGTATGTGTGAAGGTGCATCTGTTGGAAACAGACTTACCTATTCGCCACATTTAAATACTGGGTTCAGAAGGCTTTTCTCCTTCATCTTCTTCTCATGGTAGGCATTGAACCCAACTCTTTTGTTTACTAGGCAAATGCAACACACCAGCCCAAGAAGAAAACGATATTTAAACAACTGGCTATTTTTCTTAACAGTTTTATTAAGTTTTACATCGTGTTGTGTAAATTTTCATGTTAGCCACAGCCTGATAGGTGCGTGTCAGAAGGATTCTTAAAAGCTTTCACTATTTAGAATGGTAAGCATGACTTAGGAAATGAATTAAATTCTATACAGAGAAATTGATTGAAATTTGTCCTTTTAAAATGCTCATAGAACAAGTAGGTTTTTAAAACATTTTAAAGTGAGGCATGCTGATACACACCTTTGCTCCCAGCACTCTGGAGACAGGAAGGAGGATCTCTATAAGTTCTTGGCCCTGCTGGTCTACACAGCGAGTTCTAGGATAGCCAAGACTACACAGAGAGACACTGTTTTGTTTTTAAGTTTTTTTAAAAATTAAAGTTTAATTTGAACTGAGAGAATACGACTCTTAGGTACTGTTGACTGCATTTAGGCTGTTGTCATGGTGTCTCTGTGGCTGCACACTCTGCTCTTTCTTTCTGCTTGGTTTCAGGGTTTTCATGTTCCTTGTGTTACCATCTAGAACATTTTCATCTTTTGTTCAACCTCTTTTCTCATAACGTCATCAGCATATCATCCTCATCACCTTAGAAGAGTTAGGATCCTGAAATTGTACATGCATTAAAATGTTATTTCTTTTGGCGTGAGAGACAATTTCTGCTGAAACATTCTCCTCATTCAAGAACTTATGGGGAAGCAACAATGGAATTAGGAACTGTTAGGTGCTGTCTTAGTAATTAAGGAATACTGATTTTTCATGCTAGGATCACTAGGATTCTAGTGATTTTCAGAGTTGTCTTTTTTTTCTAATCTGCTTGAAACTCAATCTAGCTTATAACTCATTTCTTTTTTATCCTTGTTTATGTTTTTAATGGCCTCTCTTTCTTTAATTATTATTGTTACATGTAAAAGGAGTGGCGGGCTGTGTCCCGCCACCTGGCTCCCGGCTAGCTTTATCCAAAATAATTACGTGGAAACTGTATTCATTTAACCACTGCCTGGCCCATTATCTGTAGCCTCTTATTGGCTAACTCTTAGATATTGATCTAACCCATTTTTAATAATGTATGTAGCACCACGAGGTGATGACTTACCAGGAGGATTTTAACCTGCGGCTGTCTCGGAGAGGAGAGTCATGGCGACTACCTCATTTCCCTTCTTCCCAGCATTCTGTTCTGTCTACTCCACCCACCTATGTTCTGACCTATCAGGCCAAGCAGTTTCTTTATTAATTAGCCAGTAAAAGGAACAAAAATACATAAGCCTCTTCTACATCAGTTATATAAATGTATGCATGTATGCATATGCATGCATATGTGTCACGGTGTGTGTGATACACACACACAGCTTGGGTCTCTTTTTGTTGTTTGTATGTATATGGTTTCAGAGCTGACCACTCTGCAGTGAGCAACCAGTAAGGGGGCTCATCCATGGGAGAGGTTAATTCTCCTCCCAGCAGTTCTAGTTGCTTCTGGAGTGGAACTTGGCAAAATTTCCTCATTCATGTTAACATATCCTATGTCATTGCTGTTGTTCTTGTCCTGTCTGCAGCTGTTTCTAGGACAGACTGTTTCATCTGCTTCACAGTGGACTTGCTAGTATTCTGTCTTCTACAGTTCCTTCCCCCGCTGCCATAGATGCAGGAGCTGTGATGTAGATTACCCATTGGATTCCCCTCAACCTGTTGATCTCTGTGTTGTATACAGTTGTGCATTTCTGTGATGGTCTCCATTGCTATTCATTTCTCCTTAATTTCTTAAGTGGGAAATTTCCAATGTAGGGAAGGGAAGTATTACTATTAAATTTTATCCCTTTCTATTTACTGATCATATATTCATTTGGCAGCCCCAGTTATTTTTTAATACCTAAGAAATACACAAGAAAACACAGGACTTCGTTTTCTTTAAATGAATGAGACTTGATAGGCATGATCTGTAATGACGGTGATAGACTTGGTGCCTATCTCATTTTGTTTAAGGTCTAGAAACATGTTTGTCCTAGGAGTTGCTTTTGTGACTTAATACTATGTTTAGTAATAACTAGAGCCCAGAATATTCTGAGACATCTAAGACATATAAGACATTGAGATGTCTGAAGCTACCTCTGGATTTTCCCTGTCCCCTTTGTTAGGCAGTGAGAACAAGAACTTTTGATCTTGAGGCTAGTGATGGTTCCTCTGAAGCAAGCTGGTCCCCTAACAGTCAGAGACGGAGACTTGAAACCTTTAGATGTAACTGGTGCATTTATCTTTAGATATAACTGGTGCGCATTTATATGTGGAATTGTGAGGGTGGGGTAGCCTGTTGGTGCCTCTTCTGCCCTTGGAGGCCAGGCCAGAAGAAGGCATTGGAATTCCTGGATCTGGAGTTACAGACAGTTGTTAGTCATCATGTGGGTGCTGGAAATTGAACTCAGGACCTCTGGAAAAGTAGCCAATGCTCTTAATTGCTGAGCCATCTTTTAATATGGGCTCTCTGTTCATAACCTGCTTTGGTTGTCTTATGGGTTTTGTTATTTTTTATTTTTATTTGTGTTTATTGGATTTGCTAATTGTTAGGTTGAGAAGTACTATAAGCATGAAAGTATTTCTTGATTTTAGAGTAATATTTAAGTAGTAACCTAAGCAGAGAATTACAGCCTCATTACATACCTCATGATTTTTCCTGTTTAGTTCCTACATACACAAAGATCATGAAGACTGCCATAGAGCACAGGCGTGTTGGGCTCAACCCTCCCTATTAGGTTTACCTTTTAAAACTACTGGATTTGTGGTTTTGTACAAGTCTGAGTTATATCATTCTGCATTTTCAGTGTTTTAGGGGGAACTAAGTTTATGTAGATCTACTACGCTGGGCACATGGTGCATTTGTCTCATCCCAGTGTGGTGGAGTCAGGAGCAGCTCAGCTTCAAGACTACCCAGGGATACATTGTACAGCAGGAAATAAAACAGAACTGTTAGAGAAGTCGAGGGCAGTAGAAATAATAGAGGAACCTTACAGTGTTTCTATGATTCCTAAGACATTCATTTCTGAGTTTGTAGTTGTGACATGGGTTTTGTGAGGGTATATTGTAGTTATATTGAGTTATCATGGATATAGTCAGGAAACATTTCACAGTTAAAGAATATGTCTTGTTTGGATTAGATCAGAGTGTCTGAAGAGTGCACAGACTGTATCTAAGGACTGTTAGAGTTAATTGCTCTTATAACATGAATGTGTTTGTGTAATTTAAGTACAAATTTTGCTTATCCATTTGGATCTATATCTACCTATTATTTAAGTAAACTATCATACCCTTGAACAAAGTTTAAATTACTGCTTTAACATGTACAATGTTTGTTTTTAAAAAATACAATGTGCTACATAGAAACCCTGTATCGGGGGATACAATGTGTTTTTTACTACGTAAAGTATTGCAGTTTTTTTTAAATACAGCAAATACATTCTGAAGGAAACAGTTGCTTTGCTTACTTAATTACAAGGAGAGAGTGTCTCTTTTGTTTAAGTTAATTGAATAGTGTTTACTAATAATTTTAGTTTGACATGTTTCCCTTCCTGATTAGATTGTTCGGAAGAAAGCATTGCCTGACACCAGTGAAGATGGAGACACTAAGGAAGCTCTGAAGGAGTTCGACTTCCTTGCCACAGCAGAGGATGGAGACAGCGAATCTAGAAGTGCGGGCGATGGAACAGACTGGGGTAAGGAAGCATACTGTGTCCAATCAGAGGTCTGAGTGAATGCGGTGAATTCATGTTTTGCCAGAAGGGTGATGTTTTGGAAACAGTATGATTCTGAAATGCTGCATATCAGTGATTGTCTAGGTTGTGTGGTTACCTGTAAGGAAGATTATGTAACTATTACCTCCTCCTCCTTTAATATATAAGGAATATAGTATGAAAAGAATTTGAATTAAAACAGGCTAATTTGCTTTCTTCTCAGACAGATAGAACCTGCTGATCTAGATTTTGGGGGAAACGAGTATGAAGATGTAATAGAGGAATTTATTTTTCTTATGTCTTACATTGTCTACATAAAACAAATTATGTTAGAAAATTATAGTTTCTATGCTTCTTTAGGTTTTTATAGATTGTGTTGGCATAGTTTTGGGAATTTTGCTCAGATTGCTTTAGATCACTCTGAATATCTAAAATTTCTGACAATCACCGACACATATATTTGGTGGGAACTTCATGATGGATTATTGTAGTACTTTAAAGAACTGTGATAAATCCTTCAAAAGTGATCAGTCTGTCAGGTGTGTGTATATATGTAAGAGAGAGAAAGAAGAAGGGAGGTGCCTAGTACTTGCTCAAGTATTTATTGAGAGAATGTAATGTCAGTTATTGTAACATTGTTTTAAGTGTATCTCTGTAAAAGTTTCCTCTTAGTGATTGTAAAAGATGAGCCAATGAGTTTTTATTTGACTTCCTTAATATTTTGTCCATGAAGATCAAGGATTCTATAAACATGACACAAATACTACTTTATAGAATTGTTGAGTGCCATTTAGATGTTGCTGTACCACATTATGAACTTTTCACTAGCTTTTGTTCAGGTAGCAGCTTTAAGTATTAATCCAGTATATTCAAGAACTGGAACCCAGACTATGATTCCCACAACATAGCATTACTTTTAGCCATCAAAATCTTATTTTACACTTTCCACCACACATATTAGAAATATAAACTTAAGCCCCCCCTTTTTTAAAAAAAAAAACTTGTTCTCTGAAGAAAAGAAATAATTGTAAAGCTAAAAAGGAAAAAATAAGGTGCATTTTCTTACTTGACTTACATTGAAAGCTCTTCATACCTGTTTGATCATAATAGTGACTGGAAAGGCTCTTGGGTAAGTTCAGGGAACAGGTTTCCTATTGTATTTTAATAATAAAATCCATGTTTTCTAGATTTTTTTTTCTGTCAGAAATGCTGTATAATGAAACTTTTTAAAGGGAAAGAAAAGATTTCTCTGTGTACTGTGTGTATCCCAGTACACAGGTCTGGACACTGTGTGTATCCCAGTACACAGGTCTGTACATTGTGTGTATCCCAGTACACATGTCTGGACACTGTGTGTGTTCCAGTACACATGTTTGTATACTGTGTATATTCCTGTACACAGGTCTGAACACTGTATCCCAGTACACAGGTCTGTACACTGTGTGTATTCCTATATATAGGTCTGGACACTGTGTATCCCAGTACACAGGTCTGTACACTGTGTGTATTCCTGTACACAGGTCTGAACACTGTATCCCAGTACACAGGTCTGTACACTGTGTGTATTCCTGTACACAGGTCTGAACACTGTATCCCAGTACACAGGTCTGTACACTGTGTGTATTCCTGTACACAGGTCTGAACACTGTGTGTATTCC